GAATATTACTTTGGTAGCTGTGTGGAGAAAGGAGAGACGAGGTAGGAAAATCAAATAGAAGACTATGACTGTAGCCTTATGGTCAAGGGATAATGAGATTCTGAACTAGAGTGATGGCCAAATGAGTGGAGAGGAGGGGACTAATGTTCGTTCTGTGGGGAACAGGACAAGGTACTGAGATGAAAAATGGAATTAGAAATCACGACTATAGCAGTCTGCCCAGGAGAATCAGAGGGAGAGGTATCATGCCAAGGATTCAAAAGCCACCAAGGTTGAGGGCCAGTTTGAGGTTAGGATTTTGAAGTAAACAGATAAGAATAGAACTGAGAAAGATACAGAGAACCAAGGTTGGGAATGGGGCTGAAAACACCAGAGAAGGTAGTTATGCTATGGAAGCTGTGGGCCATCACTATGTTCTCTGAATAAGGACAACATAGGCAAGGCCTTCCCATTCTGTCACTTAAAGGGGCACATCAGCTCAAAGTCTTGATGCTGACCCTGTAAGGACATGGTCCAGACAAAATACGTCTCCTTCCTGAGGTTAAGTCCCTTTGGGATTCATAAGAGATAACAATGTTAAAGTATTGGTATGGAGCCTGGCAACTGGGGTTGAGTTCTGTTCAAAGGCTCATTGTGAGACATCTACAAAATAAAACATTTGGACTAGCTGATCCTACCTGTGAAGCTTATTATCTATGTGACCTTGGGCAAATCATTCAACCGTCTTTATTTGTGAGAATGAAGGGGTTAGATTAGATGGATTCTCAGGACCCTTGTAGCTCCACAACTACAATTCTATAGGTATATCCTTAAAGTCCTTTCCAAGGCTAAATCCTAATAATGCTATGAGTGGAGTTTTTTTTTTTAAAAAAAAGTAAGACTAAACACAAAGTACTTATTTCATTTCTCTTTTAGAAGAAATAGTCAAAAAGTAGCAAGTACTATGCTTGGCATTTCATCTTCTTCCATTCTGATATGTTTCCGTGGGAAGTGATGGTTTCTGTCACTATTCCAAAAACAACCTAACCTCGCCTCCTACACTCAGGGAGTGGGATGAATGGAGTGATGCTTTTTTTTTTTTTAAAGGAAATGTTGCAAGCTTAATGGAGACCAGTTGATTTCACACAAAGCTAATTCCTCAGATCTGTCAAAAGGTGATTGGAGCAAGATGATTAAAATCATTTTAAACCCACACAGTTAATAATCCTTCTATTAAGGCTCAGATATCAAGCTATTGTTCCCACTTACTTCCTAGAGGAAAAATCTCACAAAAGACGAGTGGTTGGAGTGGGGTGGGGAGGCTGAGGGTGTTGGGGTCTGTCCTGCCATTTAGCACCACACTCTGAACTGGACTAGAGTTAACTAGTTTACAAGTTGATACCAAAGTAGAAGAGTTGGTTTCTTTGCTAGAAGTCCTGCTATGAGTAGGCTGTATGCATTGGAGTTGTCTTAATGATGGGGAAGGTCCCTCAGAGTTAAAAAGGCTGATGAAATTTCTCTTATTCAAATGACCTGAAAATCGACGTAGAAGGACTTAGTAATATACTGGGGTTTTTTCCCTCTCACTTCTGGCAGCTCTAGTTCCCCAGCTTTATGACCCTGAGATAGACAGAGAATCTTAGGAGAAGAGATGGAAAACACTTTAGAAGCTTTCTAGTGCACACTCCTCATTCTACAACAACGAAAGAGACATATAGAGACACTAAGGGTTTTGTCCAAGATCACTGGTCTTCTAACTCCAGAGACAATGCTCCTTGCAAATACTTCCTATCTCTCTCTGCCTATTTTCTCATCTGTAAAATGAGGCTAATAACACTTGCATTACCTCCCTCATGGTGACCTTTTTAGGAAAGAGTTTCAAAAAACCTTAAAAGTGCTATATAAATGTTAACCACTAGCTATTACTAAAGTGTTACATAGACATGACTTTCTGATAACCTGTTATTAATAACTTTCAAGAAACTCCATCTTCAAGACCTCCTTGTAGTATGGTTTCTTAGTGACTGTCAGTGAAGCTCAGACTCTGCTGGGTCCGATACCAAACTGGAAAAGGACAAGAGTTGTCATCCAAGGACTGTTTAAATTCATGAAGGTTCATTACCAGGTTGGTTGCATAGCAAAGAATTTTGGAGGCATAACAACTCCTGAACAGCATGAACTAAATTGTAGTGGGAGGAAACACTCACTTTGACAAAACTCCCCATCCTTAAAGTAGGGATGGACCATTCGGACCAAGAAAAATAACTACAACATTCTCTATTTGGCGTACTCAATTCTAATGTCCATGGTCATCAATGGGGGTCCTTCACATGGAATCTTCTTGAATGAAGGTATGGTTTCAACTCACTGTGCCTCAAATAATCCAATCAAGGATGTCAGAAGACACCCTCAACCCACCCCTTTGTAGAGGTGGGAGGTCCACAAGTGTTACATATTGGATGAGTTTTCAAACTTTCTGCATGTTATCAATGTGTTGTGCTGACTTTCTTCCCCCTCTATTTGCATTACGGGGTGGCTCTCAGGGAAGACAAAGGAGACATGGGATGCTATGGTGATGTAAGAAACAAAACATCAACAATTTTTTTTTTTTTAAAATCAAGTAATCTGGGAGTCCAAACTCATCACAGACTTTTAACTTTCCTTTGGCAAGATACAGACCCTCCTCTGAGGGCCTCCAACGCTCCAAAGAACACAGAAACAAGCAAAGTCTCACAATCTGTTGTGTCCACAGGGACATATCTCAACAGACCACAGAAGCAGAGAACAGCAGAGCTGGAGGGGACAATAGAGACCATCTAAGTCAATTCCCTCATTTTCCTGAGGAGTAACTGAGACCCAGAGAGGTATAGATATTTGCCCAAAATGCCAGAGCTGGTTAAATCGCAGGTCTCTTGACTTGTTAGACTTCTGCATACCTTAGCTATCCTTGTTGTAGTTGGTTTTCAGCTGTATCCAACTTCATGACCCCATTTGGGGTCTTCTTGGCAAAGATACTGGAGTGGTTTGCCTTTTCCTTCTCCAGCTCATTTTACAGATGAAGAAACTGAGGCAAACAAGGTTAAGTGACTTGCCCAGGGTCACACACCTAGTAAGTGTCTGAGACTAGATTTTAACTTAGGAGGATGAGTCTGACTCCAGGCCTGGCACTTTGTCCACCATGCCATCTAGTTGCCCCTAGCTATCCTTAGCAATATCATAATTATCGAAGGATATGTAGTTTACCTTACCACTGTTTGGAATAGGGGAGCATTATAAATCACCCCTCTTTCCCTTGGCTCCAACCAGAGCAATAGGTCTTATGGAATTAGGCCCCATTGAATCATATGACTGGCTTGAGGAGGTAGCTTTCTTTTACTGGGAGATAGGGGCCTCCTTGATTCAAAACTACCTTGTCCCTTGAAAGCTCCGAGGTTGAGGATAGGGACCATAAAACTTGCTCCACAGAGAAAGAAGGCTCAGACCACTGATGGGTATGTGGACAGTATCCTTTGAGTGATATACTCCTGCCAGCTGCAAACTCCATACAAATGGCCCAGAGTAACAACAGTATTCAGACAGGTAACACTAAAAACTCACAGTTCTATAAAAACTTATAATTCAAAGAGTGCTTTTTGCAAAGCATGCCTGTGCAGTTATTAGGTGCAAATGTTAGGGTTTTTTTTCTTTTATAAATGAGGAAACAACAGAGTCTCAAAAATGTTTCCAAGACTGCAGAACTGGGCAGTCAGTCAGTCACAAAGCAAAAACTAGTGTTTTCCAAATCTACTGCTCTGTTCACTACGTTCAACTACCTCAGCTTGCTAAGGCAGCTGGGCACCATGAGAAACGGTAACCAGCAACGTGCGGGGGCCACCTGCTGGCTCTTATAACACTTGCTCAGATGGAAAGGGCTCTTTTTCCTCCTCTCTGAGGCTCTCAGCACTAACAGCTGTGGCCATGTGTGTGTTTCCCTGGGGATCTGGTTCTGGGCAGAGCTGTGAGACTACACATTTTCAGCATCAAGTCAAACATGGGCCTGATGGTGAGTGAACATTTCTGTTTTACCGAATGCTCACCTAAATTATACCCATTTGCCAGTCCCTCACCAGACTGGTGACATGATGAAAGGGACATCACACACTAGAAAAGTGGCATAATAACTACCACAGCTGCCTTAAAGTGAACAATGAGGATCAGATGGCACCCACTGGTTCCTCCTTGTCCACACAGTTATTTCACTGTTCAGTGAACTAAGTAAGCATTATTAGTCTGCTCGTCTGCTCATCAGTGAAGAATATGTTTGAATTTTCTCTAGCATCCTAAACCACACACACATACACCCACATCCACACCCACACACACACATGCACATACATGCACATGCACGCATGCATACCCCTTATCAGTTAGTAACAGGAACTCTGCCAATGTCACCATGTAACATTTGTAATCAGAGGATAGAGTTATACACAAAGCTGATAAATGAACAGTATTTACAATAGAGCTTGATGAAATGTGTGTTCTTTCATCTCATGGACATTAGTGTCTAGAATCCTGCCTTCAGCATAGTAGGGACTCAACAGAGAATTTGTCCATTAGCCCCTGTTTGGTCTGTTGCTGTACTACCTGACTCCCTGATTTATTGGTGTCGGTGGTTTGTTTTGTTTATTTTTACACACAACGAGAATGACAAATGTTATCAAAGACATCATTATTGTTCTAATGGCCTGCTGCAGCATTCACATTGTGTTACTGAGCTCCCAGTTAAGATTGGAAGAAACTCAGTTATGACATAACTCAGGAGTTTGGAATGTGTGATCAGGTCAGTGGGGATGTGGAAAGAGCTTGTATCATAAACCTGCCCTCATGGTCATCAGTAAGAAGCACAGAACCTCTGGAGAAGCAGCTAAAACCTTGGTAACAAAGGCTCCAGAGAGGTGGTCTCAGCTGACATAAGGAGGGGCTTCTGCAGAGGTTTCCATTCTGGGTCAGATGAATCACAGGATGGAAGTCAGAGTTACCTGTCAGATCCATTCCAGGCACACTCAAACTTGTCAAAAATGCAGTCATTTTCATACAGGGAACACAGCTTGCTCCTAAGGTAATCGTGAACCTGTTAAGAGAAACGAACCTGGTTATTCTCCAATGGAAAGTGGATGATTTGTTATAATTCACCATCCCTCTAATGCCATAACTAATATTTATAAAGTGATTTCTTATCCAAGTGCTTTCCTTTACCATGACTCTGATAGATAGGTAGCACAGGTATCATTTCTCCCATTTGATGGATGAGGTAAATTGTGAGTCAAAGAAGGGAGCCCCAGTTGGAGGGGATTTATCCCTCTTCAGATTTTTCATAGCTGTGAGTTTGGATCTAAATCTAGATCTAGAACCAGAGCTCTGGTCCTCTGGAAGGGACTTCAGAGGCTTGTTTGGCCCAGTCCTTCATATTACAGATGAAGAAACTGAGGCCTATGGAAACAGTGACTTGCCCAAGGTTATACCTCTTCATTTATTATATTCTAACTTTTATTACAGTTATTTGGATACGTGTACATACTGAGATCTTTTCATCTTTAATAGTTCATAGTTCTAAAAGCTTTTGAGTCTAAGATGTTATGATTGAATAATTCTATGATTCTGGCAGGGCTTACTAATAAGCAAGTCCCTCTGACCTCTCCTGGGCTTAAACTCAGTTGAACAGAGCATGCCACAATGGAAAAAAAAAAGCACTGGATTCCAGAGCCTTCTATGATTTTATAAGTCTTTGACTCTGTGATTTCATGATTCTGAATTTCCAACATCTTAAGATTCTATAATTCTAAAATTTTTAAACATTCTGTGATTCTAAGATCCCATGAAGGTAATGGCACCACTTTATGTCAATACCATCTGGTTCTTGAACTTGACTCCTGGCTCTCTTCACAGAAGACTTACATGAGAAAGCATCATTGTGTTCACTTTAAGACCCTAAATGGAAATCTAGTCTTATAGAAAGGCATTTGTAAGTTGATTAATTACAAGTCAGCAAACAGATTAGTAGTTAATTATATATCCAATGAAAATGACCATGGAAATAAATTACATCTTGCTGTCCTATTTCTGTGTGGATGGGCTATTACACTAAGACACAGTGCATCACACTAGCTTCTCTCTCTCCAAAAATATGTGCCCTGGATAACAGAGCTGAGAGCCAAATTACTTGGCATGTATGGGATGCATAAAGGAAACCATAAGCAGTGTGGGATAATGGAAAAAAACCCAAGATTAAGGGTCACAGTCACACAATGTTAGACCTCAAAGTCCCCCCAGTGGTCAAGTCTAACTCCATTTTACAGAAGAGAAAATTGAGACTCAAAAGATGGAAAATGACTTGGCTACCATCACATAGTGAGTCAGTGTAGGACTTCTAGCAGTAATTTTAACTTTCTTTCTTTCTATTATGACAGGCTCCGCTGAACTGAGTTTGAGCTTGAGAGAAGCCAAAGGGACTGCCATTGATTAGGGGTATCATTATAACCACACTGAGCCTTAATTTCCTCATTCTTAAAATCAATATAATGATACCTACCTTGTTGACATCATGGTCTGTTTTAAGGATCAGATAAGATAAAACAGGTAAAAACAACAGCAGCATTGTAACTGAAAAGTGCTATCATATAAATGCAAGCTGCTGCTCCTACTGTCATTGTTTGGATTCTATGTGATACATCTACTGTTCTGGAAAGACTTTGAGTATATATAAAGACTGTGTGTGCGTGTGTGTGTGTATCCAGGGACAAACTGTGTACCTACCATCCCACTATCACTTGTCAGGAATATCAGGTAGGAGTTTCCTTTTTTTTTTAGGCAATTGGGCTTAAGTGACTTGCCCAGGGTCACACAGCTAGTAAGTGACAAGTGTTTGGTCTGAGACCAGATTTGAACTCAGGCCCTCCTGACTTCAGGGCTGGTGCTCTATCCACTGCACCACCTAGATGCCCCAACAAAAACCTACCAGTCCTGATGGATTCACAGGAGAATTCTATCAAACTTTTATTATTATTATTTTTTTTAATGAGACAATTGGGGTTAAGTGACTTGCCCAGAGCCACACAGCTAGTGAGTGTTATGTGTCTGAGGCCGGATTTGAACTCAGGACCTCCTGACTCCAGGGCCAGTGCTCTATCCACTGCGCCACCTAGCTGCCCGAGCAGTTTCCTTTTCAAGCTGAGAACAGGAACATTTTGTTTTTATTCTTGTATCTCTAGCACTGAAAGGCTTTACACACTGTAGGTGTTTAAAAAAATGTTTGCTGAATTAAAGGTAAAGTTGCATTGGGTGACCTCAGAGGTCCCTGCTAACTCTGAGATTCCATGTCAAGCCTAGATTAAGTTTGGAAGACATGTTGAGAATGAGCCTGTAATAAGCTAATGTTTATATAGCATTCACTACATTCCAGGCACCATGCTAAGTGCTTTATAATTACTATATCATTTGATCTTCACAACAACCCTGGGACATAGGTGCTGTTACTATCCTCATTTTGCAGATGAGGAAACTGAGGCAAACTGAGGCAATTAAGCTAAATGCTCAGGGTCACACACAGATAGTGTCTGAGGCCAGATTTGTATTCAGATCTTCCAGACTCCAGACCCAGTGGTCCGTCCACTGTGCTAACTTGCTGCCTGTATCCAGGTGGATGTCATTTTTTTCATCACTAGCTATTCAAAAAATTGTTCCAAGAGGAGTTGTGATCTGTATCAATGAGAGAATGCCCATACCAATCCTTGAAATGTAGCACTAATATCACGCCGATAGCAAAAGGGACTTTTTCAAAAGATGAACTCAAAACCATGGTTTATAAGAAGCAATTTCATCTCTGGCCTTTCTTCCAGAAAATCCTGCTTTCTACAGCTTCTGTCTCTGTAAAGACTTCTCATTACTCCACAATGACAATGGCAAACATTCCTTTCTAGAGAGGGTATATTTACTTTCGGTATCTCCTTCTGTACAGAGAAAAGAATGTCCCGCAAGGGCTGGCCAGCCGAGATGCTCTCACCACGACTTTGAGGGTAAACGCTGGGCTAGGCTGCGTGTTCTCTGCCTTCTCTGATTCCCGCCCCCCGCCCCGACAAGATGCTTCTGTTTCCTTTGAACCCCCAGGGCACTCCTTCTCCCCTAAGCTGCTGATTTGTTCTTCTGTTTACTCTGAATGCATCTTGTATGTGCCTGTTTATGTACAAGTGGTCTCCCCCATCAGAGGCATGTTAAGAGTGACTGTTCTCAGCCTTGCTCCCTACTGCTCTTGAGCAATGAACAGGCAGCCAAGAGGCATGGTACACAGAGTGCTGGACTTGGAGACAAGAAGACCTAAGTTAAGATCCTGCCTCAGAACTTTATGAGCTATAGGATCCTGAACAACTCACTATATAGCAGCCTCAGTTTCCTCATCTTTAAAATGGGAACAATAAAATGTATATAGGGTTGTTGTGAAGATCAAATAGGATAGTATATTCAAAACACTTTGGAAACCTTGAAGCATTCTATTAATGCTAGCTATCCCAGTTCCCTCCTTTCCTACCCTGTAGAGCTTTCCTTTCTAAGGTTACGTCCAATCTACTCTGCTCGTGCCTTACATGTACCTATTTATGTCTATAATGTCTCTCCCATCAGAATGAGGGCAGAGGCTGATTTCACTTTTTTTCCTTATATACCCAAGGTTTAGCACAGTACTTGGCACATAGCAAGCACTTAGTAAATGCTTCTTGATTGATTGCACTTAATGCATTTTGTCCCATATTATACTTACCTGTTTCATCTTCCCACTCAATTATGAATTCCTTAAGGTTGGGGAATTATTATTTAATTTTATATCCCCCCTGTACTGCCAAGTTCAGTGTTCTACACACAGTAGAAGCTAAACAAATGATTGGTGAATTTGAATTACAATGAATGGACAAGGGGATTCTCTTTCCATGGGGTATAGCTGGAAAGGACTTTTGGTGTTCTTGTTCAGTCATGTCTGACTCTTGAGGTTCTTGGCAAAAAGTGGAGTGGTTTGCCATTTCCTTCTCTAGCTCATTTTGCAGATGAGGAAACTGAGGCAAACAGTGTTAAGTGACTTGCCCAGAGTCACACAGCTAGTAAATGCCTGAGGCCACATTTGAACTCAGGCCCAGTACTCTATCCACTGTTCCACCTAGCTGCCCTTGGAAGAGACCTTAGAAATCACCTAATCCAACCTCTATTTGAAACATGAATCCCCTCTACCACATCCATAACATGTGGCTGTCCAGATTCTGCCTAAATGATTCCAGTGATGGGGCAATCACTTCCTGACAATACAGGCCATTCCATTACTGGTCAATTCTAAATGATAGATTCTCATACTGAGCCGAACCCTGACATGCTGTGATTTCGTCTCAGTGGCCCTAATTCTGTCCATGGGAACTGTCCAATCTCCTAGGTTCAGAGTATCACAGAATTTAAAGCTGGTGGAAACCTTACAGTACAACTGATCTAATTTCTTCATTTTATAGATGAGGAAACTGAGGCTGAGTGAAGTGAAGGGTACTTGATCAAAGGTATGTTTAACTAGTAGAGAAACCAGATTCTCTGACTCAAAATCCAGAGTTCTTTCTCCTACACCACCACGCCTCTGACACCCCTGGGGCCCATCATGGAGCTTCTGACACTGGGGGCACCTTTGGCAGTATGGGAGTTTTTGAATAGAAGAGATGGCCGCTTCCTACCTGGTATGTTTCTATAGGCTTTGTTTCCATATTCAGATCCCAAACTTTGACCGTGAGGTAATCCCTGGTGAGCATGAACCGGCCACTGTGGCTGAATTTGACGTCTGACACCGAGGAGATGATTTCAGAGAAGAAGGATCTGTTACTGGGGTCTTCGGGTTCTTCAAAAACTGCAGAGGCAAATAAATCAAGAACAATGACCTTAGAAAGTAAACTCCGTGAGGTTTGGCAGCGGACATATTTTATTCCAATTATTACCTTCTCCAGGAAGCCTTCCCAGATCCCTGGAGTCAATGGTGTTTCCATTGTTCTCAGAGTTCACAGAGTGTTAGGGCACTCAGAATTAAAATGCTAAGCAAAGTTATTATCTTTCACTCTTCAGATCTGCCAACATATTCTGCTTTCACTCTTGTTCAGTTATCATGGAATATTGTCATAGTGGGGATGATACGGGGAACCCCTGATTCACTGGATGGGAGCACTTCTCATGGAGGGGGTCACCTTCTCTGGCTCCTTGCTGAACAGCATGTGTACTGCTGGGATAACGTAGCAGACCAATCAGGAGTTCCCAGTGTCATAGAGGCAAGGTACATGTTCCTCATCAAAGGACCAACATGCCTGGTCCAGATTTGTGGGAGGAGACCCCGTCCAGCAAGTCAGGGATTCCCCTCATCACCCCCACATTACACTGTACATTATAATTATCTTCTTTCTATCTATCTATCCATCTATCTATCATCTATCTACGTGTCTGTCTATCTATCTTTCTTTCTTATACCTCTATTAGACTGTAACCTCCATGATAGCAAGAACTGTGCTTTTTCTCCAAGTTGTATCTCCATCAGTGTCTGGCACAGTATTCTGCACACAATTGAAAGGCCTAATCCCTAGGGTCTTTATCAATGACCTAGGTCTTACCATCCTATAAAAGCTTCCAAAAGAGTTGTCCAAAAACGGAATGGGCTGCCTCAAGGAGTACTAAGTTTCCCGTCATTAAAGGTCTCTAACTAGAGGACATGACCCTGGATGATATTATCCTCCTGTACATGATTTAAGGCTCTCCTATGAACTACCTCCTTGGATCCTCTCCTTGAGAAGGAAGGGCAGCTTAATGTAGCATCCAAGAGGCAGGGACCATGGAGGTCATCTGGGCCAAGATCCTCATCTGACTGATGGGGAAACGTGGGTCTCAAATTCAGAGTTCCCAAAGCCCAGTTCAGTATTCTTTCCATTACATGCATAACATAATCCAGGATTCCCAGGAACGACAGTGGATCAATTCCCCCAGTCTCAACCTTCCCTCCATGTTCGCTCACCGTACCTTTCCTCCTGACACTCATCCGGAGAAGCAGCCCTGGTGGAGGTAAGACATGACAACTGTCCCTGCAGGTGCAGAGCCCCTCCCTCCTCTGCAGCCACAGCTACTGAAAGCCCAGAGATGAAAGCTCTCACCACCAAAGTCCTTGGCTCCATCCAATGGCTCAACCTCAGAAACAGATATGGTTTAATGGATGGAGATAACACTTAAGAAAATGCATTAGCTTCTGCTTTGGCACTGTATTCTAATGACCATCAGGCCATTCTCCAGCTTTTAGCTCAAAGCTCCTACCTGTGTTTGTCTCCCCAGCTAGAATGTGAGCTCCTTTAGAGCAGAGTCTGGCTTACTTGTCTCTTTATACCACCAGTCCTTAGCACAGTGCTCAGCACACAGCAAGCACTTAATAAATGCTTGTTTCTTTCATTCATTTAAGAGAGGGAACAAAAAAAATTTCCTAGCAGGAACGAAACTTTCTAAATTCATAATGTTGAGAATACTTCTTATTAAAGCCCAGACAATTTAGAATTCTATAATAATAGGTTCCAGAAAATATTACATGGGGGATCCTGTGCTAGGAGCTGGAGGAGATACCAAGATGAAGAAGACAGAGTTATGGGCTCATGGAGTTGACGTACTAAATATGAATGACTTCAGCAGTGCTGGGGACCTAATGGACATCCAACAAATATTCATAGAATGATGATGATAACGATCATAATAGTATTTATATAGAACCTGAAGATTTGCGGGGTGCTTTACAGACATCTTTCTTAACCTCACGATAACCCTGAGAAGTAGGTGCTATTATTATCTCCATTTTACAGATGAGGAAACTGAAGAAGTTAAGTGACTTGCCCAGGGTCACTCAGCCAGGAAATGTCTAAGGCAGGATCTGAACTTGGGGCCTCCTCCCAGGTCAAGCACTCTACTCATTGTACCACCTAGCCATCTCTACTTACAAATCACACTAACATTTGACAAAGGGTGTTTGCATATGCCTTGCTTCATCCTTACAAGAATTTTGTAAGGTGGGTAGTGGAGGTCTTATCCTCATTTTACAGCTGAAGAAACAGAGGCTGTAAGATAAGGACTCACCCAGTTAATAAGGGGAGGGGGCAGGATTTGAATCCAGGTCTTCTGAATCCAAGCCCCAAAGTCTTGGGACTTGGAGAACCTTGATAATGACAGGACCATTTGATGCAGATGATAAGCATGGAGGAGACCTCGTGTGGCTGAGCCCACCCTGCTGAACGTGGTGCAGAGGAAAACAAACTACTTCAAAGAGAACAACCTCTCATCTTTTGCCAGACATTTAAACAAATGCTTTTAAATAGCTCTTTTAAAATTCCCTGAGATGTTCAGCAGGGCAGATATCAGGTAATTATCTTGTCAGATTTTCAATAGGAGACTGATGAGCGCCATGCAATTATCATCTCTCACACCTCTTCCCTTGGATCTGTCCAAACTGTGTATTACAAATGGCAGAAATTCCATCCTCTTAATTATGATGTGAAGTCCCTGCTAAAGGATGGGGAGAAGGACCCAACAAGGTTTTCTTATTTATAGCTATGAAGAGTTTTCAACTCACTTCTGAATTTCAAGGCTGTCAGGAAGTTGGCTTTTTAAATCCATCACAGTTGGCACATGGAAAACATTTTAGCTCTCCCTTTATGGGGGGGAAACCCACCATAGCACATGCTCTTAAATTATTTTCCCCTTGAGTCCCAGGCCGTGGGCACTTAGGGTGGGGGATATGGGGGGGGGGGACTAAGAACTGGAACTTGAACACCTGGGCTGGGACTAAGGTGAATGGAAACAGCTGAGTGTGGACTGGCGTCAAGGAATCTGGGTCTTTGACCTAATCCTGCCATGCACATCATAGGCAACTTTGGACTAGTTGCTTTCCCCCTGGGAGCACTGTGACCTTCAGGATTCAGCATTGTTGTCGTTTTAATCTTTGAAAAATGAGATGCTTGAAAGTAGGCCCTGGTACAATGAAAAGTACACTGGGTTTGAAGTCAGAGACTCTGTGTGACTGCGAGCAAGTCCCTCCCCCTCTCAGGGCCTCAGTTTCCTTATCTGTAAAATGAGGATAGTTACTTGTATTCTCTCCCTAACTCCAGGATTGGTGTCAGGAAAGGTATTCACAAATCCTAAAGCATTATATAAATGTGATCAATTACTTGTGACGATAACTACGAACTCCAAGCTTTTCTAGATTCTCTACCTGATGGTGCCTTCCCCACCAAATATTCTGGTAGCTACTTGTTATGTTTTGTTTTAAACCTGGTTCCGTTGCTTAATTTTTTAAATTAAATTTTAATTTATTTTTACTTGCCAATTTCCTTGTATCGATTTTTCCTTGTTTCAATTTCCTTGCATACTTAGATGTACAATCACGTTCTCTCTCCCCTCGGCTAGACTGTGAATCCTTGAGGCCAGGGATCATTTCACGTTTGTCTTTGCACCACTGGCCCCTTGAATAAATGCTCTGAACGTAATAGGTATTGTTTGACAGATTCTAACTCTAAGATTCTTTGACTATGAGAAATCGTGAGATTGTCCACAATCCTACAACTGTAGGATTTGTTTGAAATTCTAGTCAGGTTAAGTTCATGATTAACAACAACAACAACAACAACAATAATACTTAGAATGTATTTAGTGCAAAGCACATAACGAAATTATCTCATTTTATCCTCAGAACAACCCTGAGAGGTAGGTAGGCGCCATTATACTATCTCTATAAGGGGAAATGGAGGTAGGCAGCAGTTAAGTGACCTTTCCCAGGATGACACAGCTAAAAAGTGTCTAAGGCCGCATTTGAACTCAGGTCTTCCTAACTCCAGGCTCAGTGCTCTATGTACTGTGCCACCCGGCCACCTAGATACCTGACTCCACTGGGTGGGTAATGAACTTCAAAGAATCTCTTAAATCCCAACAAAGGGAAAAGAAGAAGACTGTACTGTGAGAGTCACCTGTGGGTCAAAGTGAGAAAAAAGGAAGTCTGGCGAAAGGGGGAAAAGGGGAAGAGGCTACAAACTGGCAGGAAACTTTTTTTTTGCCTGAAGATCTCAGGTTCTATGGCTCATGTGCTTACTTTGGCTTTTCTCTTTAATGAATCTTGGGGCAAAGGATAATTTAGTTCATAAACACAACAGAGCCAGGCCCTGCCCTTGGCTGGGAAGCTGACCAGACAAACCACCTCTTGATTGATTCATTAGCCTTCTGGACCAGCTGAAGGGCACCCCAGGCTACTGCCTCAACACTACCAGCCTTTCTCCAATTCACAGCAACACGGTCGATTGGGCAGCTGGGGGTCGTACCAACACAAATTGTGGGCCTTGAACCTTATCATCACCAGACCTCACTCTTAATCATCCTAGACTCATTCCCCCATAGCTAAAATACTTCCACCCTCTGTTATTCCCCCCATCCCTGTGAACCCCTAGCTACAGATGAGCAATCCTGCTCCCCAACTTCAGGCTTTGACTCACTCATTCCTATCCCCCTCAAGCCTCTCCCTTGCCCCAATCCAACATTTCCCACTCCAGATGTGCTCACCTGCTCCATAATTAACAAGCTTGTGTTCATCTTAAACCTCATTCTTTTTCATTCCTTCCATCTTTTGGTAGGTACTATAGCTATTATTCCCATTTTACAGATGAGGAATCTGAGGCTTAGAGAAATTAAGTGACTAGCCCATGGTCACACAACTAGGAAATGTCAAAGGAGAGACTTGAACCTAGCTGTCTCCCTGCTTCATGTCAGCAGAGACAATATTCTTCCCACTGAATCACCCTGCATTGTTGCATTCTAGAAGTTGATGTCTAATAAGGAAGGAGATAAAAC